ATGTTGGGGGCCAAAATTGCCCTCCATCTGTATTGCCTTCCATCTGTATTGCCTTCCATCTGTATTGCCTTCCATCTGTATTGCCTTCCATCTGTATTGCCTTCCATCTGTATTGCCTTCCATCTGTATTGCCTTCCATCTGTATTGCCCTCCATCTGTATTGCCTTCCATCTGTATTGCCTTCCATCTGTATTGCCTTCCATCTGTATTGCCCTCCATCTGTATTGCCCTCCATCTGTATTGCCCTCCATCTGTATTGCCTTCCATCTGTATTGCCTTCCATCTGTATTGCCTTCCATCTGTATTGCCTTCCATCTGTATTGCCTTCCATCTGTATTGCCCTCCATCTGTATTGCCTTCCATCTGTATTGCCTTCCATCTGTATTGCCTTCCATCTGTATTGCCTTCCATCTGTATTGCCTTCCATCTGTATTGCCCTCCATCTGTATTGCCTTCCATCTGTATTGCCTTCCATCTGTATTGCCTTCCATCTGTATTGCCCTCCATCTGTATTGCCCTCCATCTGTATTGCCTTCCATCTGTATTGCCCTCCATCTGTATTGCCCTCCATCTGTATTGCCTTCCATCTGTATTTCCTTCCATCTGTATTGCCTTCCATCTGTATTGCCTTCCATCTGTATTGCCTTCCATCTGTATTGCCTTCCATCTGTATTGCCTTCCATCTGTATTGCCTTCCATCTGTATTGCCTTCCATCTCATTACAGCAGATGAGGAGGAAAGGCTAGAAAACAGAAAACCCCACATTTCAATTAGCTGCTTTTAACCATGATGTTTTAATGCTCCTGGCTCTGGCATTGGCAGCTGCACTACAGTAAGATGGAGTCTTCCCTGTAATAGAGATGGAAACACACAGGAAGCCAGCCTGGCTAGGTGGATGACCTCATAGCAGACAGAGAAAATGATTTACACTCTTTTATTTTATTGATCGTTAAAAACACAAACAGAGAAAGGCCTGTAGAATCCTGCAATGGCATGTTTTATGTTTTTTTTTTTTTATGATATGAAGTGACATTTACTATGACTGTTTTTTTATCTGTCAGCTGGGGCTGTGTGTGTTGCTGTATGTACCGTAATTTTCGGACTATAAGCGCGCCTTTTTTGCCATTTTTCGACCCTGCGGCTTATATAACGGTGCGGCTAATCTATGGATTTTTACAGCTAACGGCCACTAGAAGACCTCCTAAATCTATGGATTTTACAGGTTACAGTCCACCAACTTTAACTCTATGGGCTCTATGACCGGTCCGCGCCCCCCACCTTTAAGCGGCGGGCTCCAGCAGGAAAAGCTGGAGGCCGGAAAAGAGTGAGACAGGTAGCGCGCAAAAGTAAAAGTGGAACCGAGAGTGGTACGAGAGACAGAACGAGAGACAGAACGAGAGCGAGACAGTTTGTGCAAAGGAAGTTTTCAAGCAGCCATCTCTTTCCCGACAATCCCCTCTGTGCACGAACCCTTACATATGGTAATTAAACATTAAAACACCTGCGGCTTATAGTCCTGTGCGGCTTATATATGTACACATCATTCAATTTAGCTGCTGCGGCTAATACTCCAGTGCGCCTTATAGTGCGGAAAATACGGTACCTGTATCAAGACATTTATTTCATACAGAGTGTAAGTGTTTGTGCTCAGTACTGAAAGGAAAGAGGGGCCCCACCACTCAATACGACTGAAAGGAAAGAGGGGCCCCACCACTCAATACGAGTAAAAGGAAAGAGGGGCCCCACCACTCAATACGAGTAAAAGGAAAGAGGGGCCCCACCACTCAATAATAGTAAAAGGAAAGAGGGGCCCCACCACTCAATAATAGTAAAAGGAAAGAGGGGCCCCACCACTCAATAATAGTAAAAGGAAAGAGGGGCCCCCACCACTCAATAATAGTAAAAGGAAAGAGGGGCCCCACCACTCAATAATAGTAAAAGGAAAGAGGGGCCCCACCACTCAATAATAGTAAAAGGAAAGAGGGGCCCCACCACTCAATAATAGTAAAAGGAAAGAGGGGCCCCACCACTCAATACGAGTAAAAGGAAAGAGGGGCCCCACCACTCAATACGAGTAAAAGGAAAGAGGGGCCCCACCACTCAATACGAGTTAAAAGGAAAGAGGGGCCCCCACCAACTCAATACGAGTAAAAGGAAAGAGGGGCCCCACCACTCAATACGAGTAAAAGGAAAGAGGGGCCCCACCACTCAATACGAGTAAAAGGAAAGAGGGGCCCCACCACTCAATACGAGTAAAAGGAAAGAGGGGCCCCACCACTCAATACGAGTAAAAGGTGCGCTTCATAGAAGTTCCGATTATCAGACTACATTAACATTATGTAACATGGGCAGGCACATTACTGAGTAATTACAGAGTTAAGGTTATTGCTGATCATTGTTCTCAATGCTCGTTCATTTCATTTGTTTAACATAGGTAACCACCTTTCATGGACATCTTTCATTTAAATACCATCATTTAATTGCTGCTGTTACTACGATTATTACACTAGAAAGGCACTGTACACTACAGTAAGTGTGATGGCTTCTGTTTTCTCTACAGTACCTTCAGTATGTGGACTTTACATTTTTCTGACCAAGACACTGTCTGGTGTTTTTCCTAGTATTCCAGCTTTCTCAGCTCTATCTGTCCCAGTGCTGCAGTACAGCCCTGTTTTATTGATGAAGGAAAGACATGGGGATAAGGCAGTACAGCCCTGTTTTATTGATGAAGGAAATACATGGGGATAAGGCAGTACAGCCCGGTTTTATTGATGAAGGAAAGACATGGGGATAAGGCAGTACAGCCCTGTTTTTATTGAAGAAGGAAAGACATGGGGATAAGGCAGTACAGCCCTGTTTTATTGATGAAGGAAAGACATGGGGATAAGGCAGTACAGCCCTGTTTTATTGATGAAGGAAAGACATGGGGATAAGGCAGTACAGCCCTGTTTTATTGATGAAGGAAAAGACATGGGGATAAGGCAGTACAGCCCTGTTTTATTGATGAAGGAAAGACATGGGGATAAGGCAGTACAGCCCTGTTTTATTGATGAAGGAAAGACATGTGGGATAAGGCAGTACAGCCCCTGTTTTTATTGATGAAGGAAAGACATGGGGATAAGGCAGTACAGCCCTGTTTTATTGATGAAGGAAAGACATGGGGATATGGCAGTACAGCCCTGTTTTATTGATGAAGGAAATACATGGGGATAAGGCAGTACAGCCCGGTTTTATTGATGAAGGAAAGACATGGGGATAAGGCAGTACAGCCCTGTTTTATTGATGAAGGAAAGACATGGGGATAATGCAGTACAGCCCTGTTTTATTGATGAAGGAAAGACATGGGGATAAGGCAGTACAGCCCTGTTTTATTGATGAAGGAAAGACATGGGGACAAGGCAGTACAGCCCTGTTTATTGATGAAGGAAAGACATGGGGATAAGGCAGTACAGCCCTGTTTTATTGATGAAGGAAAGACATGGGGATAAGGCAGTACAGCCCTGTTTTATTGATGAAGGAAAGACATGGGGATAAGGCAGTACAGCCCTGTTTTATTGATGAAGGAAAGACATGGGGATAAGGCAGTACAGCCCTGTTTTATTGATGAAGGAAATACATGGGGATAAGGCAGTACAGCCCTGTTTTATTGATGAAGGAAAGACATGGGGATAAGGCAGTACAGCCCTGTTTTATTGGATTGAAGGAAATACATGGGGATAAGGCAGTACAGCTCTGTTTTATTGATGAAGGAAAGACATGGGGATAGGCAGTACAGCCCTGTTTTATTTGATGAAGGAAAGACATGGGGATAAGGCAGTACAGCCCTGTTTTATTGATGAAGGAAAGACATGGGGATAAGGCAGTAACAGCCCTGTTTTATTGATGAAGGAAAGACATGGGGATAAGGCAGTACAGCCCTGTTTTATTGATGAAGGAAATACATGGGGATAAGGCAGTACAGCCCGGTTTTTATTGATGAAGGAAAGACATGGGGATAAGGCAGTACAGCCCTGTTTTATTGATGAAGGAAAGACATGGGGATAAGGCAGTACAGCCCTGTTTTATTGATGAAGGAAAAGACATGGGGATAAGGCAGTACAGCCCTGTTTTATTGATGAGGAAAGACATGGGGATAAGGCAGTACAGCCCTGTTTTATTGATGAAGGAAAAGACATGGGGATAAGGCAGTACAGCCCTGTTTTTATTGATGAAGGAAAGACATGGGGATAAGGCAGTACAGCCCTGTTTTATTGATGAAGGAAAGACATGGGGATAAGGCAGTACAGCCCTGTTTTATGTGAAGAAGGAAAGACATGGGGATAAGGCAGTACAGCCCTGTTTTATTGATGAAGGAAAGACATGGGGATAAGGCAGTACAGCCCTGTTTTATTGATGAAGGAAAGACATGGGGATAAGGCAGTACAGCCCTGTTTTATTGATGAAGGAAATACATGGGGATAAGGCAGTACAGCCCTGTTTTATTGGTGAAGGAAAGACATGGGGATAAGGCAGTACAGCCCTGTTTTATTGGAGAAGGAAAGACATGGGGATAAGGCAGTACAGCCCTGTTTTATTGGTGAAGGAAAGACATGGGGATAAGGCTGGCAGGCTGGATGCTAGGGGATGGCTGATACTTCAGCTCCAGTTCCTTAGCAGGCAGACACACACACACACACACACACACACACACACACACACACACACACACCACACACACACACACACACACACACACACACACACACACACACACACACACACAATGTCAAGGTTATGCAGTTGCTAAAGCTCTCCTGAGCTGTGCTTTGCGTGCTGCATATGTTTGGCATCTATTCAGGAATCACTCATATCTATTTTAATGTGGAACACCTGCTCAGTGCTCAGTCCCTGTGGTCTGTATCTGAAGTCAGTCCATCCATATTTATCATGCTTCTCCGGTCTCTCCTGTACAGATAGAGTGGCGATAGACTCTGACATGGGCTTTTTGGACCAGTCAAACAATGTCATCACACACCAATCTTAGGTGGAAAATCATGCTAACGCTCTTTGCCTTCCCTGTGTGTTTTTGTGTTGTGTATTTATATTAAAAAGACCTCCACTCACCTGACGCTGTTGTTTTTCTTACAGGGCCTCATGAAATCATTCTCCTTCACACAAGGTTCCTCCTTGACTAACAGCTCCCTAATAATGTGAAACGTATTTTTACTGAAGGATATGTCATTGAGTTTGTCATGTTGTTTCTCTCTCCCAGTTTGACAAGACGTCTGTTCCACCCCTCATCTATTGTTGTTGTTGTCTGCATGGCGCTGTTTGATGATGTAATGTTGTTTCTCTCCCTCCAGGGCTCTGTTTGACTATGACAGGGCAAAGGACTCGGGGCTGCCCAGCCAGGGGCTCAACTTCCACTTTGGAGACATCCTTCATGTGGTGAATGCCTCCGATGACGAGTGGTGGCAGGCGCGGCAGGTGACCCGCGAAGGAGAGGTGGAAGAGGTCGGGGTCATCCCCAGCAGGAGGAGGTGAGGGGTCAAAGGTTAGAAGCTGCCCTATAGGCACAGATCTATGGATGGGCAACTGGTGCTCAGGGGTCTGAGTGCCTGCTGTTTTTCACATTTTGCCTGGCCCGGGGATTGAAGTTGCCCCCATCCCTTGTTCTGTGTCTCCAACACTGAAATCTTATTTTAGGAGATTAACCAAAAAAAGTTTGAATTAGTAGGAGTTTTGTCAGTTAGCACGACATGGCTTTAAATAAGCCTTCTTACTCACCAGACTCAGCAGTTTGGGGAATTCAGTTTTAAAACACCATTGCATGTCCTGTGCTTGCTGAGTGTGTGTGTGTGTGTGTGTGTGTGTGTGTGTGTGTGTGAGTGAGTCAGCATAGCACAGTGCTGGTTTTATCCCTGGGCACAGCATGGTGTGAATGCTGATGCCACTGTGACTGGCACAATGCATCATAAGTGTACCATAGGAACAGAGAGTATGCCCACAACCACTATTTTTTGTTTAGCCAAGGATTGTAATGAGGTGTGTTACTGCAGTCTTTCAGTGAAAACCTTCTCTGTGGCAAAAAAAAGTTGCCATCGAAAACAAAAACCCACCCATCGGGTTACACTTCCTCTGTTAAATCAGCAGCCCTTTGACGTCAGTAACAAATTATCACATCTTATTCTGCAAAGAGGCGCTTGGAATCAGCTGTTTCATTAAACTTGAGAGTTCAAACACCCTCCAGTCTCTCTCTCTCTCTCTCTCTCTCTCTTACTCTCTCTCTCTCACACACATACACTGTCGAGCTTCACCTCTATTTCCTCCCTCCCTCGCTCTCTCACCCAACAGAGAGGTGACGGACAGATGATAATTGGCTTCTCACCTGACTCTGGTTCGTTTGTCACCTTGGAATGATCAGATGGCAGCAGTAGTAGTAGTAGTAGTAGTAGTAGTAGTAGTAGTAGTAGTAGTAGTAGTAGTAGTAGTAGTAGTAGTAGTAGTAGCAGCAGTATTAGTAGTAGCAGTAGTAGTAGTAGTAGTAGCATCAGTAGTAGTAGCAGCAGTAGTAGTAGTAGCAGTAGTAGTAGCAGTAGTAGTAGTTAGCAGTTATTAGCTAGTAGAGTAGTAAGTAGTAGTTAGTATCGTAGTATATAGTAGTAGTCAGTATAGACAGTGTAGAAATAGTAGTAGTAGAGTAGCAGTAGCAGTAGTATGTAGTAGTAGAGTGAGATAGTAGTAGTAGCAGTATATAGTAGCAGTAGTAGCAGAGTAGTAGTAGGATAGTAGAGTAGTAGATAGTAGTAGTAGCAGAGTGAGAGTAGTAGTAGTAGTAGAGTAGTGTAGTAGCAGTAGTAAGTAGTAGTAGTAGTAGTAGAGTAGACAGTAGTAGTAGTAGTAGTATCAGTAGTAGTATGTAGCAGAGATAGTAGTAGTAGTAGTAGTAGTAGTAGTAGTAGCAGCAGAGTAGTAGTATAGATAGTAGTAGTAGTAGTATAGTAGTAGAGTAGAGTAGTAGAGCAGCAGTAGTAGTAGTATAGTAGTAGTAGCAGCAGTTAGCAGTAGAGTAAGCAGCAGTAGTAGGTAGCAGTAGATAGTAGTAGTAGTAAGCAGTTAGTAGCAGTAGTAGTAGTAGCAGTAGTAGCAGTGTAGCAGCAGTAGTAGTAGCAGTAGTAGTAGCAGTAGTAGCAGTAGTAGTAGTAGTAGCAGCAGTAGTAGCAGTAGCAGTAGCAGTAGCAGTAGTAGTAGCAGCAGTAGTAGTAGTAATAGTAGTAGTAATAGTAGTAGTAGCAGCAGTAGTAGCCCAGTAGTAGCAGCAGTAGTAGTAGCAGTAGTAATAGTAGTAGTAGTAGTAGCCGCAGTCGTAGTAGTAGTAGTAGTAGCAGTAGTAGTAGCAGCAGAAGTAGTAGTAGTAGTAGTAGCAGTAGTAGAAGCAGTAGTAGTAGTAGTAGTAGCAGTAGCAGTAGTAGTAGTAGCAGCAGTAGTAGTAGTAGTAGTAGCAGGTAGTAGTAGTAGCAGCAGTAGCTAGTAGTAGTACCGTATTGGTCCGAATATAAGACGACCACTGATTATAAGACGACCCCCCCGTTTTTTCAACACAAACATTTAGAAAAACAGATTTGCAGACTAGATTTGCCGAACAAAGAACTTCATTTTATTTTAAAATAACAATATTAAAACACAGTGAATTAAACAAAGGCAAATAGACAGTAGTAGTTAAATTAATCAAGCAATAAAGCACATTTTTAGAACAGAGAAAGATAGGACAATTAATAAGTACACAAGAATCGAGAACTATCTCGAGTCTCAGTACTACACACGTCATTAGCCCGAGTGTGTCGCTCAGTAGTCATGTCAGTAGTGCGCTGTAGCAGTCTTAGACGTGTTTTCTGTACGCATCTTTATTTAGTCAGTGAGCCCGAATGTTGAGCTGGCAGTGTAGTGTAGAGATTGCTAGTGACAGCATAGTGAAATTAGCAGTAGTAGCCTCAGCGATGTTATATTGACTGCAGTATGAGCATTGTATAAATAGGTAGCCGTAGTTCATCTTAAACACCGGTAGGCGGTGTTAAGGAGCTCTTCCGTCCGAACGAATTTGCGCCATCTGTGAGCGATGTGTAGTAGTACATTAAGGAGGCGAAGAGTAGAATGGCTGATACTAGCAGCGAATAGTAAGCGTAGCCAATTTGGAGCATATGTAGTATAGTAGTAGTAGCGTAGTAGTAGCGAGCACAGTAGTATAGTAGTAGTAGTAGTAGTAGTAGCAGTAGTAGTAGTAGTAGTAGCAGTAGCAGTAGTAGTAGTAGTAGTAGTAGCAGTAGTAGTAGTAGTAGCAGGAGCAGTAGTAGTAGTAGTAGCAATAGCAGTAGCAGTAGTAGCAGCAGCAGTAGTAGCAGTAGTAGTAATAGTAGCAGCAGTAGTAGTAGCAGTAGTAGTAGTAGTAGCAGTAATAGCAGCAGCAGTAAGTAGTAGTAGTAGCAGTAGTAGCAGCAGTAGTAGTAGTAGCAGCAGCAGTAATATTTGAAGCAGTAGGAGTAGTAGTAGTAACAGGGTGTTTTTGTATGAAGTTGTGTGTCATGAGAGTCGGTATCTATCATGTGAAAGCATGAGTCATTGTGATGATAGGCCACCAGGATTGTAGAATGACATGATATGGTTGCAGTGTGAAAACTGATTTATCTCGAGCACTGCATTGTCAAACTGTTTCTGATACTTCCTAATGTGAAGGAGATTAAGATGCCTATAGCCTGTCAAAAAACAAAAACAAAACAAAAAGAGAGAGAAAGTAAAGAAAGCCTGTAGCAGCCATTGAACAGCCATACCTTGTAAAGTAGCTTGAGACAGCTGTTAACCCAAATGAAGGCTTAAAGGAAAGCTGTACTGTACTTGCTGTTGATGCAGAGCAGAAGACTGTGTTGTGTTATCCAGAGCTCTGAGTTATTTGATTCTTCCTGCTGCTGCTCTCCAAGGTATTGCCATATTCTCCAGTGATGTCCTCATTGTAAAGGAAAGAAGGAAATTATTCACATTTTAAAGCTTCATAGAGCTTTGTACAATTTTGATTCTGCTAATATTTCCTTCGGGGTCTCATTTAAATTAAATAAAAATGTAGGAGGGACATAATTACTGGTACTTTCTTTTAATTATGCTGCCTTCAAGGCTCTCACAGAGTTGGGGAAATAAAAAGGTTTCCCCTCAAGGCAACTGTTTTATCCCTGTGATGACTGAATCACCCCTTCCCGCTCTACTCCTCAATCTCAGCAGAGCACTGTGGAAGTTACTAGAGACATGGAACCGGGATCTGAGTCTTCACACACACGCAATACCCCGGCTGAAAATAGCCAGCTTGTTTCAAGGCACGATATATTCAATGTTTAATCAGTGACCCATGGGTGCAGCCCTCGCTCCGTCACTCCTCACTTCCCCCTTTTTCCTCTCTTCTCACCCCCCCTCTCTTTTTTTGCTCTCTTTTCTCCTGCAGGGTGGAAAAAAAAGAGAGAGCGCGGTTAAAGACGGTCAAATTCAACGCCCGGTCTCAAGACAAAGGGGTGAGTGTTAGGTGACCCGTAGAGGATCTCTGTTAGGTGACCCGTAGAGGATCTCTGTTAGGTGACCCGTAGAGGATCTCTGTTAGGTGACCCGTAGAGGATCTCTGTTAGGTGACCCGTAGAGGATCTCTGTTAGGTGACCCGTAGAGGCTCTCTGTTAGGTGACCCATAGATAATCTCTGTTAGGTGACCCGTAGAGGATCTCTGTCACGTGACCTATAGAGGATCTCTGTTAGGTGACCCATAGATGATCTCTGTTAGGTGACCTGTAGAGGATCTCTGTCACGTGACCTATAGAGGATCTCTGTAAGGTGACCCGTAGAGGATCTCTGTCAGGTGACCCGTAGAGGATCTCTGTCAGGTGACCCGTAGAGGATCTCTGTCAGGTGACCTGTTGAGGATCTCTGTCAGGTGACCCGTTGAGAATAGCTGTCAGGTGACCCGTAGAGGGATCTCTGTCATGTGACCCGTAGAGGTTCTGTCAGGTGACCCGTAGAGGATCTCTGTCAGGTGGCCCGTAGAGGATCTATGTCAGATGACCCGTTGAGGATCTATGTCAGGTGACCCGTTGAGAATAGCTGTCAGGTGACCCGTAGAGGGATCTCTGTCAGGTGACCCGTAGAGGATCTATGTCAGGTGACCCGTAGAGGATCTCTGTCAGTTGACCCGTAGAAGATCTCTGTCAGGTGACCTGTTGAGGATCTCTGTCAGGTGACCCATTGAGAATAGCTGTCAGGTGACCCGTTGAGAATAGCTGTCAGGTGACCCGTAGAGGATCTCTGTCACGTGACCTATAGAGGATCTCTGTTAGGTGACCCATAGATGATCTCTGTTAGGTGACCTGTAGAGGATCTCTGTCACGTGACCTATAGAGGATCTCTGTAAGGTGACCCGGAGAGGGTCTCTGTCAGGTGACCCGTAGAGGGTCTCTGTCAGGTGACCCGTAGAGGATCTCTGTCAGGTGACCCGTAGAGGATCTCTGTCAGGTGACCTGTTGAGGATCTCTGTCAGGTGACCCGTTGAGAATAGCTGTCAGGTGACCCGTAGAGGGATCTCTGTCATGTGACCCGTAGAGGTTCTGTCAGGTGACCCGTAGAGGTTCTCTGTCAGGTGACCCATAGAGGATCTCTGTCAGGTGACCCGTAGAGGCTCTCTGTCAGGTGACCTGTTGAGAATAGCTGTCAGGTGACCCGTAGAGGATCTTTGTCAGGTGACCCGTAGAGGCTCTATGTCAGGTGACCCGTAGAGGATCTCTGTCATGTGACCCGTAGAAGATCTCTGTCAGGTGACCTGTAGAGGATCTCTGTCAGGTGACCCGTTGAGAATAGCTGTCAGGTTACCTGTTGAGGATCTCTGTCAGGTGACCCGTAGAGGATCTCTGTCAGGTGACCCGTTGAGGATCTTTGTTACAGTATCAGTGCTGTTATGGAAATATTGCTTACAAAAATATATTCTTCAAGATAGTTGTAGTTTAAGCTTTGTGAAAATCCATAAACACTTCAGTGTTACAAACTTTTTCCCATGATCTAATATTATACCAGGTGTTGACAATCATCTCACATCATCAGTATGCCTGGTTCAGAGCACTCTGACTAATGACTTCGATCAGGGGTTCCCAACCTTTTTCGGTCACTGTGCCACCAACTGAATTTAGCTCTGCCCGGAGTACCCCTGAAGTACCCCCTCTTGCATTTTACCAGTAAGCCTATGATCTCATGAGTCTTCTCAAGTACCTCCATTGGATAGGCCAGGTACCCCCAGGGGTCCTTGTACCCCTGGTTGGGAACCACTGACTTAGATCATACCTCCACTCCTTCCACACATAGAGCTGATTAAAGTGTTACCTACTCAGAAACTCTAGTCATGGTTCATCAGAAAGAACACCGACCTTTTAAAACTGAACATGCACGTTTTCATAACAATACACTGACCTATGACTTTATTTTATATGGATACAATATTTTTGCTGTTTATAGTATTTTAGGCAGGAATGCTAACTTGAGATCCACACAGATTTCAAGTTAGCATTCTATCCATAATTATATTGTGAAGCTGTTTCCACATGACCAAAATGAATGTACCTTTACTGTACTAATCTGAGGCTGTCTGTGTGTGAGAGGCTGTAGAGTTAACAGCATGTCTACCATGACCACTCCCAGCGAGAGACAACACTCTTGTTATTCATTCAAGAATATTTCCCACCTGACTCACTGAGTCTCCCAGAGGAGAACTGTGCTGCGTTGACACAGTGGTGTGTTTCATCCACATGCACAGATTCTACACAGATCTGATCAGTGGCCTTATTCACAGTACGTCTCAGAGTAGGAATTCTGATCAAGGATCAGGTTTCACCTCTTAATAATCATGATCTAAAAGGCTAAACTGATCCTAGATTAGGACTCCTACTCTTTTTTGAATACGGGATTATTAGATCGTTATATCATGTTGATGTGGTTCCTGGGATCTCTTGAGTAGGAGTACTGACCTAGGATCTGTTTTGTATTAAATAAAGAGTATACGGACAGAGTGAAGCTGATCCTAGATTAGGACTCCTACTCTGAGAATCCTTGAGAATCTGCACAGACCTGTATAGATAGAATGTGCATGTGGAAGGCAGCTGTGTTTCGTAACATGGCACCCAGACCACTGCATGACCTGTGCAGGACAGAGGGCTGATATACGTTTGCCATTGATGTCAAACTGCTTCCACTACCTACTCTCACCAACCACCTCTCTCTCCTTTCTACTTTCCATGCATACAATCCAACCTCACCTCCCTCATATTTTTTTATTCTTGCTTTTTTTGTGCGTTGATCAGTATCTTAAATCTATCTGAATCATGAAGCTGAAGCAATTGATCCGTTATGGTGATGGAGTAAGGGATCTTTGTTTTTATAAATGAGTGTCTAAAAATGCTTTATACAAGGAGCATGATATTTCCTTCCTTTATACAAGGAGCATGATACTTCCTTCCTTTATACAAGGAGCATGATACTTCCTTCCTTTATACAAGGAGCATGATACTTCCTTCCTTTATACAAGGAGCATGATACTTCCTTCCTTTATACAAGGAGCATGATACTTCCTTCCTTTATACAAGGAGCATGATACTTCCTTTCTTTATACAAGGAGCATGATACTTCCTTCCTTTATACAAGGGGCATGATACTTCCTTCCTTTCCTTCTTTGCTCCTTTGCATGCTTAGACACAGTATTGGGCTAGTGTTGAAGGTTTTGAACCTTTCTCACTCCAATCCTTCTTCCTGCTTTAATTCAGTATGGCAATGGGATGTCTTTTCATTAATGAGTCATTTATTTGGTCAGATGTCTGATAATTCCTTTTCATTTACTGAGCTGACTCCGTAGCCATCTCGGTGTAAAACACTTATTCTGTTGTAGTTCAATTCATCCAGATCATAGTTACCCCAATCTGAAGCTATAGAGTTAACTTGACTCAAAAGTCAAAGTAATCTGGACTCAAAGGTCAGAATTTCTTCCTGCTTCATGGTAACAGATTGTCAGTTGTGTGCACTTAAACTAAGATGTCTGCCAAGTCCAGCTCAGAGGGTTGTGGGTAACTGTCCTGGGTTTGTTGTGTTCACACCAATATTAGACACCTCCCTCCCTCCTTCCCTTTTTTGTTTTACCCCGTCCCATCCTCCATCCCTCCATCCCTCCCTCACTCTCTTCCCCAGCAGTCATTCAATGACAAGCGTAAAAAGAACCTCTTTTCCCGAAAGTTCCCTTTCTACAACAAGAGCAAGGAGCACAGCGAGCAGGAAACAAGCGATGTTGACCGTAAGTAAAGCGTTAAAGAGACGGACGGTCGCTAGAACAGTAGGTCAGGGCAGCCTCAGGCACAGGAACGCACAGGAACCGCCAGACACAACCACTAGCCCTGCAGCAGGTAACCCTAGTACCAAGGTAGAGCATTGGGCTTTAATAACTAGGGCCATGACCACCAGGAAAGACTCTGGGCCCCCTAGTTCTAACCATACTTTGCTCAACCACCACTCTAAACCATAGCTCTACGTCAGGAATCCTCTGTGGCCTTAGGCCTGCATCTCCGCTCCGGTAGCTTTGAGCATTGCTCATTGATTTATCAGTTTGGTTGGTTTGACCATTTGGGTTCAGTGCAGTGCTGCGTCGTTGTGTCTAACGGTCGAACAGCGTGTTGTGTTCCAGTAATGAATGTCTCTCTTGTGGTTGTGTCTCCTGTTTTGCTTTGCTCTCTGACGACTGCTTCACAGGACCCTGACGACAAAGGACTGAGTAAGTCACACAAGGTTTTCCACTGTCACACAACCAACCCTCTGCAGCTCATCCCAGGCTCCGGCAGTCATATCATATTGTCATCCATCTCCTAACTAGGACATTAACAGAAATACTTGTCATCCAATGCATTCACAGTCATTAAAACCTCTTTCATAGTCATCCAGCCTCTTAATGTTTTGACAGTCGGCTTAGTTTAACTAACATACACAACAGTGTGTTTGTACTTCTATTCTGTTCAAAGCACAAACAGTGCCTTCTCTAAACACATTGCATCCACGTAACAATGCATAGACCAACACTCATATATCTGAAAGATTGTCTTCCCGTCAGCCTCTGTACACTGTGGTCAGGCATTTTACACTGTGTTCAAACAGCAGGACATCAGGGTCGTTAGCTAGACAGTACAACAATACTAATATCATCAGCACACTGAATCATGCAGTGTGGTGATGTCACTTTAATCAATGGTGATTCATTGGTGGGTATTGTACGGCAGATCATGCAGGCTGCTTTTGCACTGTAAAGTCCCCTTTAGAGAGTAGGCCTAGTGTTGCTGTTCGTTTCCCCTTACTCAGCATAGATGGAGGTGGGCTCATTTAGAAACACGTACAGTAGAACAGTGGTTCTCAACGAACAGTAGAACAGTGGTTCTCAATGAACAGTGGTTCTCAACGAACTGTAGAACAGTGGTTCTCAATGAACAAGTGGTTCTCAACGAACAGTAGAACAGTGGTTCGTAACGTACAGTAGAACTGTGGTTCTCAACGTACAGTAGAACGGTGGTTCTCAACGTACAGTAGAACGGTGGTTCTCAACGTACAGTAGAACAGTGGTTCTCAACATACAGTAGATCAGGGGTTCTCAACCTTTTTTGGTTACTGTACCACCAACCGAATGTTGCTCTTCCCAGAGTACCCCTGAAGTACCCCCTCTTGCATTTTACCAGTAGGCCTATGGTCTCATGAGTCTTCTCATGTACCCCATGTGGATAGGCCAAGTACTCCCAGGGGTCATAGTACCTCTGATTGGGAACCACTGCAGTAGAGAAAACAGTAATTAGAATAATCTAGGGGATTTAATAGACATAGTAGATAGACTCTGATGGTCCCAAGTGATTGTGTGTGTTACAGAGGTGTCATATCACTGTCAGAATCACCTTGGTGTAGGGGACCTTTCCTGTTGAATATATTTATGTCTGACCCCCCCCCCCCCCCCCCCCCTTTGGCTGTGTTAAGACCCTTCAGGAGTCCTGGATGTTGTGCTATTTCAACCATCATTTAAATAAAAACATATTTTTAGTTCACCTTTATTTATTCAGGGGATACAGTGGGGAAAAAAAGTATTTAGTCAGCCACCAATTGTGCAAGTTCTCCCACTTAAAAAGATGAGAGAGGCCTGTAATTTTCATCATAGGTACACGTCAACTATGACAGACAAAATGAGAAAAAAAAATCCAGAAAATCACATTGTAGGATTTTTAATGCATTTATTGGCATATGATGGTGGAAAATAAGTATTTGGTCAATAACAAAAGTTTCTCAATACTTTGTTATATACCCTTTGTTGGCAATGACACAGGTCAAACGTTTTCTGTAAGTCTTCACAAGGTTTTCACACACTGTTGCTGGTATTTTGGCCCATTCCTCCATGCAGATCTCCTCTAGAGCAGTGATGTTTTGGGGCTGTCGCTGGGCAACACGGATTTTCAACTCCCTCCAAAGATTTTCTATGGGGTTGAGATCTGGAGACTGGCTAGGCCACTCCAGGACCTTGAAATGCTTCTTACGAAGCCACTCCTTCGTTGCCCGGGCGGTGTGTTTGGGATCATTGTCATGCTGAAAGACCCAGCCATGTTTCATCTTCAATGCCCTTGCTGATGGAAGGAGGTTTTCACTCAAAATCTCACGATACATGGCCCCATTCATTCTTTCCTTTACACGGATCAGTCGTCCTGGTCCCTTTGCAGAAAAACAGCCCCAAAGCATGATGTTTCCACCCCCATGCTTCACAGTAGGTATGGTGTTCTTTGGATGCAACTCAGCATTCTTTGTCCTCCAAACACGACGAGTTGAGTTTTTACCAAAAAGTTATATTTTGGTTTCATCTGACCATATGACATTCTCCCAATCCTCTTCTGGATCATCCAAATGCACTCTAGCAAACTTCAGACGGGCCTGGACATGTACTGGCTTAAGCAGGGGGACACAGCAGGATTTGAGTCCCTGGCGGCGTAGTGTGTTACTGATGGTAGGCTTTGTTACTTTGGTCCCAGCTCTCTGCAGGTCATTCACTAGGTCCCCCCGTGTGGTTCTGGGATTTTTGCTCACCGTTCTTGTGATCATTTTGACCCCACGGGGTGAGATCTTGCGTGGAGCCCCAGATCGAGGGAGATTATCAGTGGTGTTGTATGTCTTCCATTTCCTAATAATTGCTCCCACAGTTGATTTATTCAAACCAAGCTGCTTACCTATTGCAGATTCAGTCTTCCCAGCCTGGTGCAGGTCTACAATTTTGTTTCTGGTGTCCTTTGACAGCTCTTTGGTCTTGGCCATAGTGGAGTTTGGAGTGTGACTGTTTGAGGTTGTGGACAGGTGTATTTTATACTGATAACAAGTTCAAACAGGTGCCATTAATACAGGAAACGAGGGGAGGAGAGAGGAGCCTCTTAAAGAAGAAGTTACAGGTCCGTGAGAGCCAGAAATCTTGCTTGTTTGTAGGTGACCAAATACTTATTTTCCACCATAATTTGCAAATAAATTCATTAAAAATCCTACAATGTGATTTTCTGGATTTTTTTTTCTCAATTTGTCTGTCATAGTTGACGTGTACCTATGATGAAAATTACAGGCATCTCTCATCTTTTTAAGTGGGAGAACTTGCACAATTGGTGGCTGACTAAATACTTTTTTTCCCCACTGTATATAATCTCTTTTACAAAAGAGAGACTTGGTCCAAAATGGCCGCAGGGTCACCGTGTTGGAAATAACAGCATGAAAACACACATTAACATTGTATAAAAGCTGCACCTTGATGTGACAGGACCTAACCGTGGTCTAATGTAAGGATGCAAGAGGAAGGTCTCACAGATATACCGTCATAATGCCTTTCACATAATGCTGCCCTTCACAAAACCTAACTTCAGAGGGTATAGAGTTTTTAGAAAGCACAATACGTACAAAGTTCACACCTCCGTCTCCTTAGGGTTCCTAGCACTGCCCTCTCCTGGTGATCCTGTGTGTATCTCTGTGTCTTCATGTTGTGACGTCATCAGTGGGAGGGGTGTGTCTGTGTGTATCTCTGTGTCTTCATGTTGTGACGTCATCAGTGGGAGGGGTGTGTCTGTGTAGATCTCTGTGTCTTCATGTTGTGACGTCATCAGTGGGAGGGGTGTGTCTGTGTAGATCTCTGTGTCTTCATGTTGTGACGTCATCAGTGGGAGGGGTGTATCTGTGTGTATCTCTGTGTCTTCATGTTGTGACGTCATCAGTGGGAGGGGTGTATCTGTGTGTATCTCTGTGTCTTCATGTTGTGACGTCATCAGTGGGAGGGGTGTATCTGTGTGTATCTCTGTGTCTTCATGTTGTGACGTCATCAGTGGGAGGGGTGTATCTGTGTGTATCTCTGTGTCTTCGTGTTGTGACGTCATCAGTGGGAGGGGTGTATCTGTGGTGCTGACATTCCTTTGTTATACTTTCAGAGCATGTAACCTCTAACGCCAGCGATAGTGAAAGTAGTTACCGTAAGTCCTGGTGTGCCTCTCCTTCCCTCCCTCCACCCCCCCCTCTGTCGACCGTTGGCTCTATTCTGTAATTAGTTGTTTTTCACTTCTCCGTCGTCATCTTCTCTGCTTCTGGTGGTGTTCTATTATGTACCGTGTGTGTTTGGTATGTCACACGTTAAGAGGCCCCAAGCTACTTCCTTCAGGGATGCATGTCCCCAAGCTACTTCCTTCAGCAATGCATGTCCCCAAGCTACTTCCTTCAGGGATGCATGTTGAAATAGCAGTCGTGTTAGGAGGTTTACTGGACTGATATGAAACCGATGTGGAGCTTTAGCAGTGTGTTTGTGTTTGTGTGAGAACATAGAAAGAGTCTATAGTGTGCTCTGCTCTCTACTGCTCTCTACTGCTCTTAAAACTACTGCTGTTAAATCTACTGCTATTAAATCTACTGCTCTTAATTCTACTGCTATTAAATCTACTGCTGTTAAATCTACTGCTGTTAAATCTACTGCTATTAAATCTACTGCTGTTAAATCTACTGCTATTAAATCTACTGCTCTTAATCCTACTGCTATTAAATCTACTGCTGTTAAATCTACTGCTATTAAATCTACTGCTGTTAAATCTACTGCTATTAAATCTACTGCTATTAAATCTACTGCTCTTAAATCTATTGCTATTAAATCTACTGCTATTAAATCTATTGCTATTAAATCTACTGCTGTTAAATCTACTGCTATTCAACCCTTTTTAGGAAAAGCAAATCTGCTTATACATATTCACAAGCTTTATGGAATGCACGCGCATTAGCTACTCTTTCAATGTTTTTCTGAACAGCTGGAGGGATCAAAGGGGGTCATCAAGTTGATTCCGTTTTGAAATGCACACTTGCTACACTGATTTGATAGATTACAACAGGGAACAGGAGAATACTGATAGACAAACACACACACACACACACACACACTCATAGCATGCCGACAGCTAGTCTGGCTCCTAACCCTAATCACAGTGAACACTGCACCGACACTGTTCGTCTAAACATGGCCGCCTGTTCTGTCCGTCCAATCAAGGTGGCCAGGAGGAGTACGTCCTGTCCTACGAGCCAGTCACACAGCAGGAAGGTAAGACACAGCTTACATCATCATCTCTGTCACATATCACCTGACACAGCAGCAGTATCTTATCAATGCCCCATTAGAGTTAGTTGGTTATCTCACTTAGTTATCTTAGTTTGTTATCTTAGTTATTATCTCACTTAAAGTTAGTTATCTCACTGTCAATTATTGTAATATGCTTCTATAAGGGCAGTGTTGTTACAGTCGATCCCTCTTGTGTCTGTCCAGTGAACTACACACGGCCCGTCATCATCCTGGGGCCAATGAAAGACCGCGTCAACGATGACCTCATCTCAGAGTTCCCCGACAAATTTGGGTCCTGTGTCCCACGTGAGTACCAACGTTTTTGTTACATAAACAATTTGATGTTTTTATGTTGACCGTTCTCGTCTTGTACCTAAAGGTGTGATTACCAGGGCTGTCGGTAATTAAATATATAAAACAAATCTAAATACATTTCCGTTGTCTTCGTCTGGTTATTCAGACACGACCAGACCAAAGCGGGATTACGAGGTGGATGCCAGAGACTACCATTTTGTGGTGTCCAGGGAGCAGATGGAGAAAGACATCCAGGACCACAAGTTCATCGAGGCGGGCCAGTACAACAATCACCTGTATGGGACCAGCGTCCAGTCTGTACGGGAGGTCGCTGAGAAGGTGAAAAGAGGAGAGGGAAGAGAGGAGGAGGAGAGGGGGAAAGAGAGACGATCAAGAATAGGAGGAGAGGGAGAACGGAGGAGATGATGGAAGAGGAGCGTACCGTTTT